ATTGTTGCTATTGTTGGGTTATTATGCTTAAGTCAAATTTAATTATTAAAATTTAAGGCCAATAATTTAAATTAACTTCGGCCATTTTGTTGATCAAATTTGGGCCAATAAATTTTATTTAATTTTGGATCATATTGAATTAAATTAAATTAAATGAAGGTTAATTTTAATTTTAATTTCATTTGAGCCATTTAGGTTTGAAATATTTTTTTGGAATTAAATTTGGTCATTTTATTTTAGATCAATTTTGTTAAAATTAAATTTAGCCCAAATTTGATTTATTTTTGACCATTTTGCTTAAGGTCATTTTAGTTAAAGCTTTTGTAAAATATTTTGATCCAAAACTAGTGACCCCATTTGATAAAATCTTTCGGTCTAACTAAATGAGTGATAAATGAATTATTTGGGTAATTTGTTTAGTTGAATTTCAATAATTAAAATTTATCCAATCCGTTAATAATTCATTTAATTTTATAAAAATTCATTTAATTAACAAAATTATCTTATTATTCGAATATTCACTTTAAATCAAATTTATTGATTTTATGAGATTTATTTTTTTGAATATGCATCCATATATAACATATTTTAGTTGTATAAAATTTTGATCTGATAATTTTGTAAATATTTTTAAATTACATAAATCACTAACTAAATTTATCGTTGATGTATAATATGATTTAATTATCCTGTCATTAACAAGTCATGGCATAATAGTCATTTTAGGTTGTATGTTTTGAAAAAATTCTTAAATTTTAAATTCAAAAGAATAACTATTATGACATGATTCTATACATATGCATAATACCATTTTAAGTTATTCTATGAAGCCTTCAATCCCAATTTTAATCTACAACTATCACCTAACAAGATCATTTTAACAACTAGTATGTACCATTTTTAACTATTCTAGGCGTAATAAATCCTAAATGTTGGTCAAAAGCAGATCCACATTCCATACTCACTTTGTAAGAGCTCAATTGAGAATGAAAAGATTGATGTGCAATTTCAAAGATACTCTAATTAGAATTGTATTCTGCACACTACAATAATTAAAGATGCCATTAAAGACAATTTATCAAATTTGTGTCTAGTTCCGAACATCAACAGTTAGCGATTTCTATTAGATATGGTACATGAAGCTTTTCAATTATATATTGTTTTAGAAAAATCATAATTTCTTGCTAGATTTTTTTTTTTTTTAGATCTCATGGAAACCATTAGATTTTTAATTAACTTTAAAATTAGAATTAGAAGCTTAGTTAGCATATGATGATCATTCATCATTCATCATTGACATTTAATTTAGTGTCAAACTAGGTAATAATTTTCTTGCCTTAAGGATCCGTTCACAGAACAATATCACAAATTCCCAAAACCTTGAAAGTACATATAGCAGATTCATAGCCCAATAATAACTAAGGGATGCATGATTAGCTAGTGGCAAAGGCAATATACCTTGGATGAGCTATTGAGATGAACCATGGTCAGGATCTTTTACCCTACAGTGCCCAAACCTTTGCACTCCAAAGTCCTAAGTCTCCAATCATGCAATTCGATCGAAAATTGTCAAACATTCCTTGCAATTACATATTTGTATCTAGTTCAACAAAAGATCCCTAACCATTAAACACTCCTAAATTCAAACAAAAACAATTAAATTAATTAAATTTAATTAAAAGTTAGTATAAATTGTAAAGTTATCAGAATAATGGCAGCAAAAAATTTAATGTTAGTGTGAAAAATAAGATTTCTTGTTAATATTACGAATCGATTTTCTCTTAAGGAGCTTGAATATTTAATTTTTATTTTTTGCAATTGTATCTAATGTGAAATCATCTTTTGTGACTCAATAGAAGTATAATAATAAAAAAAGTTTAAATTACAATTTATCTCAATACAAGTCTAATAACAAAAATAGTTATTTAAATTAAAATTTATTAAAAATTTTATTAAGGGTATTTTAATTAAAGAAATAATAAAAAATAGTTATTCAAATTAAAAATTATTAAAAATTATATTAAGGGAACGTTTAATTCAGGGGAATATAAGATTTTCTCTTTGAATTTTACTTGTGGGAATATGATTCTCATGTTTGATTTACGGATATTTGATTTTTGAGAATAATTTTAAATTTTTAATAGTACTAAAAAGTCTCGGAATTAGAAACTGAAATTTCTCTATAGTTTTTTAAGATATTGAAAGGAAAGTTACTTTTGTCTTACATTTGATCTAGATAAAAAATGTTTTCTTTCTAGTTTACCTCTATAAAAATCATCACATGAAAATAAAGTAAATGTGGATTTTTTTTTGTTTTGGAATTTTTTTTTAATTGAGTACACTTTATATATACATTTTCCCCCACTCGAATATTGAATTTATAGGCTTTGACATGCAGTAATTGTGATTATTTATTATATTTTTTAATAGATATGCAGTATTTGATAACTCTTATTTTTTTATTTATTTAACTTGATGGCTTTTGATTTAATAAGTATTTATTATGATTATAGCAATTACTACATTTCTTTGAACAGAAACATAATATTTGATATTTAATTTTTTTTTTTATCTATTTGACTTGATGACTTTTGATTTAATGAGTATTTATTATGGGTATAACAATTACTGCGTGTCTTTGTACATAAATGTAATATTTAGCATTTAATTTTTTTTCATCTTATTTCCAAATAATTTTTGATTTAATGAGCATTTATTATAGTATAGCAATTATTGCGTTTCTTTGAAAATAAAAGCAGTAATTGTTCATTGTCATTTTTTTTAAATGAGTAATATAATATTGTGTTTGGAGGTTTAGAAATGCAATAATTGATGTATTTATTACGTTTTTTTGAATAAAAATGCAGTAATTGATTATGAAATTTTTTTTATATCCCACGAAAGCTACATTTTTAGGCTTTGAAACAGAATAATTGTAGATTATTTCATGTGTTTTTCCAATGCAGTAATTGATTATCTAATTTTTTTTTTTTGGTAATTGGCCACTTGAATACTATTTTTCTAGAATTTGAAATGCGTTACCTGTCGATTTTTTTTTTTGACAAATTGTTGTGTTTGTTATGTAGTGAAAGATGTTATAGTAAACATATATGATTAAGTAATTTGACTTTCCCCCAACCAAACACCAAAATCTAATAATCTTATACCACAAAGAATCATTCATTGTTAGGAATCTACACTTTCTTAGAGATCACATTCTCTTCCAAACTCTAAGATTCTTCAAACCAAACACCTCCTAAGAATATTTTGATTGATTACTATTAATACTTTTGAAGTTTATACTTTAATATATAGATGATATAATTAAGTATTTGATGGAAGTTAACCAAAAAGGTATTCGATGGAATAAAAAGTATAATTAGAGCAAAGAAAATGGTAGAAAAGTCAAAGAATGATTATGTTGAAGAAGAAAAAAAAGGTTAATACCATAAATGATTCTTAATCTATAATAAAATGATCAATATAGTACTTAAATTTTAAAAATCTCTAATACGATATTTGAATTATAAAATTATTAAATAATATGATACTTAAAAGATTATTTATCCATAATGTATTATCATTTAAAATTAGTCACGTTAAGGTTAAGTATCAAATTAATTAATAGAATTATAATTAAATATCATATTAAAAATTTTTAAAATTCTAATATCACATTAGATATTTTACTATAACTTAAGAACCATTTATGATATTAACCTAAGAAAAAGAAAGAAAAAGTGTTCGTGTCATCAATCAAGGGAAAAATGCAAAGTTGGTTAGAAATAAGTCTTTGAGTTAGTTTCAAAGAAGCCATTCCATCAAAGGGCTTAAACAATAGGGGTTGGGGTTGACATTTGATTTTAAAAAATCAACAAATTAGGAAGAAGAAAGACTTTAACAACTTTTTTAACATTAAGAATTTGCAAAATATTAGTTTTATAGTAGATATGATAATTCGTATATTTATATTATATAAAATATTAAAATTTATATATTTATATCATATTTTATATAAAAATTATATGTGATAATTTATATCGATATAAAAATAAAATATATTTATTTAATTTTATTAAACTATATTAAATCATATCACTTTTATATATATATTTTTATCATAATATCGTATTATCATATCGTGTTTACAAGAGTCCAGCTGCTATAACACTCCTATCTTTCCTGGTCCTTTTCCTGGTCCCATCTTCGTAGCCAACGCCATCATTAACAATAGGCCATTCATGTCTTGCATGAACAAAACTGCTCTAACTTTTAACAGATGAATCTTTGACAAAGGTGCAACTTCAAGACCAAATAAATGATCTAAACGAACATTTCCAATTTTTATTCTCCAAAAAATCCTTTGATTTTGTATTTAAATGCTTTTTTTTTTTCAAGTTTCTAAAGGTAAAAAAGCATACAGAAAATTCCAGCACCAAACAAAACGTCTGCTTTCAATTACACTCCCAAACTACCTAAACCCGAAAAGGCATGATATATTTTGTGCATGCAACCTGGTTAATGCAACATACTATAACAGGAACTAAAAGGTTGTTAATCAGAACCAAATATTTAAGAATAAATGCAGCAAACATGATAAGCCGGAAAATGTGGACATTTTGAAGCAATTCTTGTGTAGAACATATATCAAATACCAACCTAAAGAGCTTTGTGATACAGATCATGTGATAAACACCAATGTATGAATGTCCATACAGAACAGGCAATTAAACCCATTGAGTTGAATCAGGCAGAACCTTGGTAATGTTCAGTTATGTGCTTAAAGACTTGCTTTCCGAGTGAGGCAATGACAGAGTTCATTTAAACTAGAAAACATCCATATGACAAACAGAACGGATTTGTAAAGTTTTGCAGTTTATAATTGGAAAAAATTATTATTTTGTAGTGATTAATTATAAAGTAGAAAAATTTTATTATTTTGTAGTGATTAATTATAAAGTATCTTTCTTTATTTAATAAAGCCAGTGAGAATCTGAGATTAGGTTTATGCCAATCTCTTCATTGGATGTTTACTTTGGACGTAAAACAGGAACAAACTTGAAATTCGCAGGGGCGCATATCAACTATAATTCTACAATTATCGAATTATAACAGTGAATTCTTTATGGGATCCAAAATTTTGAGTGAAAGTTCCATCTAAAACTGTCCACCTCAGCAGTGAAAAATGAAAGACAATAAAGCTGACTAAGAATCTAAGATGACAAACCTGTAGCAGTGTGCCTTGTTTGAAATCCACAAGCAATTGTGTTAATCACCGACCTGAAAATGCAAGAAAAGTGGCTTTAATTAAAACATTAACCAAGTATCTTCACTGTATTCACATGCAAATTAGAAGACTCTTCTAGAGTTGATGGGATTTTACCTCGTCAAGATGGATGGAAGGAAAATGAGCTATCTTGAACGATTCCTTCCCTTTCCTATTTTGAAGGTTCGGATTCAGCGGAGAACAGTCTGTGATACTCAAAGAAGACAAGGAAGAAGGCAGCCTTTGTTCTGGCAAGGAATCAAGCTTGTTACTGCAATTTGTTTCAATTGTTTGAAGAGAGGTGAGTTTGTTAAGCTTATACATGTTGTATCTCTTTATGTGTGTGATCAGGTAGCTCTCTATCCTCAATGTCTTTATGATGCGTTACACTTTATTCTCGAAGTTTGGCTGATATTTTGTAAAAGCTGAGACATTGATTGTGGTCCCTTAAGATTTTTGTCTGATATACACATAACCTTAAGCACCTTGAACATATATCTGAATATTAATAAGAAACACCACCATTCTTGCTGCATATTGCATCTGCCTGCACAAAAGAATTTTGATAATCTTATTTAAAGTTATGTTGATAAAATTTCTGGTCTGGCGAGAGTGGAGCTTGATGGAGGTTGAGCTGAAAAACGTACTAGACCAGTCGCAAAAGGGAAGATCAGCGGACATTGGAAGTAGTACTTTAGGGCGTACTCTTATGCTCGAGTCACTTAAGTTGCTAAGAGATGGGGACAAAAGAGAAGGAAGCAGGGAGGAGAGTAGAAACAGAGAGAGCGTTAACACTTCAGAATAATGCATATATGATTAGATCAACAGACGTCCGATACTAATGACGTGGCAGCCAGAATGCTACTGACATAGCCACGAACAAGTAGCAATGAAGCATTCAGATTTGCTTTCCTTATAATCTTCTCCAGCAATCAATAATCCAATAGAAACAATTTTAAAAACATTGATCCAGGTAGAAATTTAACAGCCTAACAAGAAGAAAGAGGCAAAGCATAGTTTTTCTAACACCACTATTTCATTAACATAAACATTTGTAAATATCTGATCAACTGGCTGTTATACACAAACCGTAGGCCATAATAAAAAGTCTTTACATGCAAACAACAATGATACAACTAACTCGATACCTCACACCAACACACAACCAATATCAATATTTATTCTCGGTAGAAACAAGTTTCTTTCACTGCCTAATATTTATGATATATTAATTTAATACTACTAGAGAAGACTGAAGAGATAAGAGCTCAACAGTTAAAAGTTTAGCTTTTTGTTTTATTGTTTAACACGTTACTTGCCTTTTTTATCATTTGGGTAAACCTATTCATCATCTGGAGCTTAACTCGTCCTCGTAATGTTGATGCATTTTCCGGCACCTTTTATTGTTTGTCCAAGTAAGTGTCTGATGCTATTCTTCTTTCTTACTTCACATTCAAACCATTCATTTGTCTGCTTCATTGATCAGGAAAACAAACCCAAATTAATAATTTTGTATATAATTTCATCTCTCATAAAAGTACAAATAGAGGAGAATAGGTACATATCTATGAACTTAGCATGTAACTGATACTATTTCAATAGCCAAAAGGTTGGGTTTAGGGGTTTCTTGTATGTCTTCCTGAATTAACAATATGCTTTATATTTCACATGCATACACAATTAAGACGTTAAAAACTATTATGTACTTTTATCTTCTCTAGTGTTTGGTTGAATCATTATCTGAGAAGCAAAAGTAAGAAACAGTTGAAACTCGAAACACCGATTCTCTATGACTCTTCAACACAAATCAGGAAGAGTAGCAATGGATATTGTATTAAGAAATAAAGGTCAAGAAAAGTTATAATTCGCTGGGATTTTCAAAAGAAAAGGGTTGATATGTTGTCAAATATATATAACCAATTGTTTCCAGAAGTACAATTACTAATCTCTCTAAATATTTGTACATTATGTCCATGCAATTAAGAGTAGAGAAGAAAACAAGCATTTATGAGTAGGAAAATCCTTTTCACGAAAAAGCCAAAGCATCACTGCAAAAGTTTAGCTTTTTGTTTTATTGTTTAACATGTTACTTGCCTTTTCTATCTTTCGGGTAAACATATTCTTCATCTGGAGCTTAACTCGTCCTCGTAATGTTGATGCATTTTCCGGCACCATTTTTTGTTTGTCCAAGTGTCTGATGCTATTCTTCTTTTTTACTTTACCTTCAACCCATTCATCTTTCTGCTTCATTGATCAGGAAAACAAACCCAAATTAATAATTTTGTATATAATTTCATCTCTCATAAAAGTACAAATAGAGGAGAATAGGTACATATCTATGAACTTAGCATGTAACTGATACTATTTCAATAACCAAAAGGTTGGGTTTAGGGGTTTCTTGTATGTCTTCCTGAATTAACAATATGCTTTATATTTCACATGCATACACAATTAAGACGTTAAAAACTATTATGTACTTTTATCTTCTCTAGTGTTTGGTTGAATCATTATCTGAGAAGCAAAAGTAAGAAACAGTTGAAACTCGAAACACCGATTCTCTATGACTCTTCAACACAAATCAGGAAGAGTAGCAATGGATATTGTATTAAGAAATAAAGGTCAAGAAAAGTTATAATTCGCTGGGATTTTCAAAAGAAAAGGGTTGATTTGTTGTCAAATATATATAACCAATTGTTTCCAGAAGTGCAATTACTAATCGCTCTAAATATTTGTACATTATGCCCATGCAATTAAGAGTAAAGAAGAAAACAAGCATTTATGAGTAGGAAAATCCTTTTCACGAAAAAGCCAAAGCATCACTACATTTTTCTCTGTTTTAGGTAGTAATTAAGAAGACTTGCCTGTGGAATCCCATTTTCATCTTTTTTAAGGTGATATTCATGCATAACCCAGTCTGACCTCTCTCCACGTGGGGCCCGACCATTATAAAAGACTGATCAGCATAACATCCGAAAAATGTTTTCTATAAAATGTTAAATAATTTTTATTTTATATATAGTTTTTTAAAAACAAACACATTTATAAAAAAAGAAATTTGCGTACACTTTGCGACAAAGATTGAAGTGTAATTATTTAATTATGTAAAGTTATCTTACTTTCAAATAAATAAAATTCATAGTTTAATGAATATTAGCACTTGGTAACTCAACCTGGGACACGAAGTTGGCTTAGATAAACATAAATAAAAAATATTATGTTATCCATTTGGGATAAGTTTTTAGTTTTCCCAACAAATCTGCATTATAAACCAGTATTCTATATAAAGAGGAGAATGATTAAATAGAGGATTGGGCAGTTACTATAAGCAAAACCAGCTCTTATTACTGTTTGCTTCAAGAAACAAAATATATTACCACAAGTTATATAGAAATTATCTCCAACATGTGGAACCTTTTATAGTGATCATCATACAAAATATATTACCGTTAATTATGATTGTAAAACTTCATCGATGACGATGATGATGATGATTGTTATTATTATTATTTCAGCAAAAAATAGTCATCAGATAGTCCAAAAATTTAAACTGGTTTTATTAAATTTATAACTCTAATTTTTATGATCATATAGATACTCTTACAAAACCTTCATTTATGAGGCCCGGAGCAAAATACAACCATAATGAAAATGCAACTAATAAGGAGCTGATGAATTATATATATGCATGTTCATCCCTAAACTAATTACTTTATGTTTTGAAGCAATCCTAAAATAATTGGTAAAAGAACTACTAATAAATGATTGAGCATACATATATAATAGTTAAAGAAATTGTAAAATTACTAAGATACCCATACACATGTCACCTTCATAACATATAAAAGAAAATTGATAAATATCCTAAAAAATAAGTAAACTCAATTTAAAAAATAATATATTAATGATTTTTTACTAATTACATATTAAAAAATAATTAGAAAATATATATGTTTTCATTAAAAAAATTTGTATTACTCTTAATTTCTTTCTAAAATAATAATTAGAAAGTAAAATCAAGATAATTTCAAAAACATATATAATGAATAAGTACATTTTTCTTTTTCTCATGGCCAAAATAGTGTAGCTCAGACTTTCTATAGGAGTGTTAATATGGTTTAGTATGATAACAAAAACTCTAAACTCGAGGTACTTAGATATTAATGCAAACATTTTAAGTTAAAGACTGAGGGGAAATATCATATAAGCCAAAAGATATTTCATCTGTGTCAGTCTTTCTAATGTTCATTTAACAAAAAATGAGGAAATTTATAAATTGTTAACAGAAATAAGGAAAAAGTTTCATGCAATCATATGATAGATTCAAGTAGTTGAAGCTTAAAAGCAAGAAAATTAAGTTGGCTCTTTTTCCTTTTCTCATCCTCCTTTGAAAAAAGGATAAAATTATCTAGTAGTTTCTCATTCTTCTCTTGTTATTACAGAAATCTATAACCCAAACAGAACAAGATTGAATACAGATGAATGATGATGCAGGCCGACATGCACTAAAATTGAAATTACACAGAAATTCTCATAATGTTGAATGTGTATTTGTAATGGCATAAATTCTCTATGCCATGATTATGCATGTGATAAAACCTCAATTGTCATTGCTATTGTAAAATCATTACATTGCTGAACTCACATGAAAAACAAAAGTCATTTAAGAAAGTGGTCATTGCGGCTCTCTCCCTAAGGGACACTATTTTGGGATGATGAAACTTAACAAACATTCAAGCTTTTAAAGACTACAAACGGCAAATAGCAAATGCTAGAAAAAAACTTATTAAGGTAGAAAAAAAAGTATATGAGAAGTAGGTATGCTTTCTGCTGAATGAAATATGATAATTGTGGGATTAATGCAAGTTTTAAGTATCCAAAAAATGATATAAATATGCAGTAATGATGAAAGGGATTAGAGGTCTGCTTTTCATTGGCAAAGAAGAACTTGTAGATCTGCTCAAAGAAGCTTTTCAACCCAAATTCATCTGAAAAATAAAATCCTGAGCAGAGAAATCCAACCTGAGTAAAAGACCCAATAACTTCCTCTGCTGATTTGCATTTTTCAGCTTCATTTTCTGCCATTGCAGTGATCTCCTTTGGTATTTGCCTTGATGATTTCACTTGTTCAGCTTCAAGACATTGGGATTTGCAAATAAGTTCTTCCTGCAAAAAATGTCCAGCAGATTTGCCTTTCCATCCTTCCCATTAATTTAGATAAGTGAAACAGTTACAAGAATAAACTAATCAGAAGCCAACATGCACTAAAATTGAAATTACACAGAAATTCTCATAATGTTGAATGTGTATTTGTAATGGCATAAATTCTCTATGCCATGATTATGCATGTGATAAAACCTCAATTGTCATTGCTATTGTAAAATCATTACATTGCTGAACTCACATGAAAAACCAAAAGTCATTTTAAGAAAGTGGTCATTGCGGCTCTCTCCCTAAGGGACACTATTTTGAGATGATGAAACTTAACAAAACATTCAAGCTTTAAAGACTACAAACGGCAAAAATAGCAAATGCTAGAAAAAAACATATTAAGGTAGAAAAAAAAGTAATGAGAAGTAGGTATACTTTCTGCTGAATGAAATATGATAATTGTGGGAATTAATGCAAGTTTTAAGTATCCAAAAAATGATATAAATATGCAGTAATGATGAAAGGGATTAGAGGTCTGCTTTTCATTGGGCAAAGAAGAACTTGTAGATCTGCTCAAAGAAAGCTTTTCAACCCAAATTCATCCAAAAAATAAAATCTTGAGCAGAGAAATCCAACCTGAGTAAAAGACCCAATAACTTCCTCTGCTGATTTGCATTTTTCAGCTTCATTTTCTGCCATTGCAGTGATCTCCTTTGGTATTTGCCTTGATGATTTCACTTGTTCAGCTTCAAGACATTGGGATTTGCAAATAAGATCTTCCTGCAAAAAATGTCCAGCAGATTTACCTTTCCATCCTTCCTATTAATTTAGATAAGGGAAACAGTTAAAAGAATAAACTAATCAGAAGCCAACATGCACTAAAATTGAAATTACACAGAAATTCTCATAATATTGAATGTGTATTTGTAATGGCATAAATTCTCTATGCCATGATTATGCATGTGATAAAACCTCAATTGTCATTGCTATTGTAAAATCATTACATTGCCGAACTCACATGAAAAACAAAAGTCATTTAAGAAAGTGGTCATTGCGGCTCTCTCCCTAAGGGACACTATTTTGAGATGATGAAACTTAACAAACATTCAAGCTTTTAAAGACTACAAATGGCAAAATAGCAAATGCTAGAAAAAAACATATTAAGGTAGAAAAAAAAGTATATGAGAAGTAGGTATGGTTTCTGCTGAATGAAATATGATAATTGTGGGATTAATGCAAGTTTTAAGTATCCAAAAAATGTTATAAATATGCAGTAATGATGAAAGGGATTAGAGGTCTGCTTTTCATTGGCAAAGAAGAACTTGTAGATCTGCTCAAAGAAGCTTTTCAACCCAAATTCATCCAAAAAATAAAATCTTGAGCAGAGAAATCCAACCTGAGTAAAAGACCCAATAACTTCCTCTGCTGATTTGCATTTTTCAGCTTCATTTTCTGCCATTGCAGTGACCTCCTTTGGTATTTGCCTTGATGATTTCACTTGTTCAGCTTCAAGACATTGGGATTTGCAAATAAGATCTTCCTGCAAAAAATGTCCAGCAGATTTACCTTTCCATCCTTCCTATTAATTTAGACAAGTGAAACAGTTAAAAGAATAAACTAATCAGAAGCCAACATGCACTAAAATTGAAATTACACAGAAATTCTCATAATGTTGAATGTGTATTTGTAATGGCATAAATTCTCTATGCCATGATTATGCATGTGATAAAACCTCAATTGTCATTGCTATTGTAAAATCATTACATTGCTGAACTCACATGAAAAACAAAAGTCATTTAAGAAAGTGGTCATTGTGGCTCTCTCCCTAAGGGACACTATTTTGGGATGATGAAACTTAACAAACATTCAAGCTTTTAAAGACTACAAACGGCAAAATAGCAAATGCTAGAAAAAAACATATTAAGGTAGAAAAAAAAGGTATATGAGAAGTAGGTATGGTTTCTGCTGAATGAAATATGATAATTGTGGGATTAATGCAAGTTTTAAGTGTCCAAAAAATGATATAAATATGCAGTAATGATGAAAGGGATTAGAGGTCTGCTTTTCATTGGCAAAGAAGAACTTGTAGATCTGCTCAAAGAAGCTTTTCAACCCAAATTCATCCAAAAATAAAATCTTGAGCAGAGAAATCCAACCTGAGTAAAAGACCCAATAACTTCCTCTGCTGATTTGCATTTTTCAGCTTCATTTTCTGCCATTGCAGTGACCTCCTTTGGTATTTGCCTTGATGATTTCACTTGTTCAGCTTCAAGACATTGGGAGTTGCCAATAAGATCTTCCTGCAAAAAATGTCCAGCAGATTTACCGTTCCATCCTTCCTATTAATTTAGATAAGTGAAACAGTTAAAAGAATAAACTAATCAGAAGCCAACAACAACAGAGCTTCAATCTTTTCTTCCTTTGTATCCATTCATACGTTAAACCTTATGCCCTCAAGTAGGTGAAACATTTATCCAGCTTCCATCCCATTTCTATTCTAGCTGCAGTACCTTAAATACACACGGCTTCAACTTTTCACACTTGATACTCAGATTTGTATTTTGCTCATTGAATTGCATAAGCACTCCACCAGATATATTAATGAGATTCTTACCTCACCAAGATGGATCGAAGGAATATGAGCTATCTTGAACCATTCCTTTGCTTTCCTCTTTTGAAGCTTTGGATTCAGTGAAAGACAGCCGGTGATACTTAGAAACAACAGGGAGGAAGGCAGCCCATCTTCTGGCAAGGAACGAAGCTTGTCACAACAGTTTATTTCTAGAGTTTGAAGCAAGGTGAGATGTTGAAGTCCAATTTCATCCAGGGATTCGAGATTCAAAAGCCTGCTGATTCGTAGAGAATTGAGATTGGTTGGCAGCAGCCCATTCTCTGGAAAAGACAACATTTCTAGGCATCTACCTTCTATCTCAAAATGACAAAGAGAATCAAGTTTATCTAATTGCCACGCTCTCCGAGGAGTCATTTTGTCACAGAAAGAGATGCAGAGTATGTTTAAGCTGGTAGGCAGACTCCATATTGGAGGCGGCTCCAATTTTAGACATTTGTTTATGTGCAGTGTCTGAAGAGATTTGAGACCTAGCATCTGTCTTGGCATTGACTTGAGATTGTTGCAGTTGGACAAAATGAGTGATGTCAGGCTTGGGGCTAGCAATCCCTCTTCAGGAAAAGTTGTCAAATTAGGACAGTCCCTAATTTCCAAGGCTTCAAGTGACTTCAGATCATTCTGCAATCTGTTCTCTATTGAAAGATACTCAAGGCTTCTTAAGTCCCAGAGACTAAGAATTTTAAGCTTTGGGAAGCAATTCAAAAAGAAGGTCATGAGAGAATCACAACTGCTTCCTAAGCATAAATGCTCTAGGAGAATGTAGTGATTTGCCATTTCATTAGGTTGGGGAAACTGAAAGTTTCTGCAGTTACGTATATAAAGTCTTTTCAATGAACTGGGTTGATGCACTTGAGGAAAGGTCTTAAGTGAATCACAATCAATGATATACAGATGTTCAAGATAAGGTCTATCCAGTATACCTGTAGGTAAGGACTCTAGGGCATCACACCTCTCAATTCTGAGGCTCAGCAAGCGTGACGGCAATTGCAATAACTTTTTCATACTTGACACTCTAAGAGCCACAGAAGGAGATGATGAGGAATATGAAGGGCCATCACGTGGAAGGACTAAAATCTCACTTGTACTTGGAGGGAGCTGTGATGCTACTTCACCATCATTTCTCTTTGGATTATCATCATTACTTCGCAGGTGCACCTCACCACACTTGTATAACTCAATGTTACAAGTATCTGAAGTCCTTGGAAGTATAGACTTAAGCCGATAACATTTAGAGATCTTCAGTTTAGCCAAAGAAGGAAGGGTCTTTGGTAAACTCCCCTTAAAATTTGGACAGTTTGCTATATAAAGCTCCTCAAGGCAGGGAAATTCTTCATCTTCAAGTGATATCCACTCTTCCCATTGCGACATGCTTTTAAATTCTAAAATCTTCAGAGACTGAAATGGTTTACAAAAGGATGCCTCGACCCTATAGAATTCATGGCCAATGCTGGTTAGTCTTCTCATCCGTTCAATAATGAGATGTACAAGAGATGGCAGCTGCCCAAGTGGTGGCAACGATAAGCAATTATAGCAGTTTCTGAGACGTAAAAACACTATATTTGAAAATGAAGAGTCTCCCAACCAAGAAGGGAACTTCTTACCACCATAAAATCCAATGGTAAGAATTTCTAACCCTTTAGAAGGCTCTAGATTCTCCAGCACTGCACTCTGATTTGCTGGATTGTTGTTATTGCTGCCCCATTCCAACTGCAATGTATGGAGATAACTCTTGGCCTTCAAATTGGCATCCGATGCATCCAAAGCAGAGGAAACATTTTCCAACCCAGAAACAGACAGTGATCCGCGAAGATCAAGAAGCGTCCCCAACTGTTTGATATTTGATCCACCATTTCCTACAATAAAATTAGTCAATATCTTAAGGCGTTTTAATCTGCCCATTTCTTCTGGCATCTGCACCAACCCAGTTCCTTCAATGTAGAGATATTGCAAATTAATCAACTTCACTATGCTTTGTGGCAACATAATCAGAGAACGGCAGTCCGTCAATATCAATAGCTCTAGATAGTACAGATCACCGACTGAATCGAGCAGGGTTTCAAAAGATGGACTCTGCGAAAGGTTTAAGTGATGTAGATGTTTAAAACAGCCTATCGAGGTGAGGATTGGACGTGGAATCATTTCCCGTCCGAGATCCCGTAAGTAGATAAGTCTGAGAAGTCTGAGTTGTTTGAATTCAAGCTTCTCAAGAGCAGTGTTGACAGACCCACCGGTGACTAATAAACCAGGCAGGAGCTTCTCCGGTCGGGAGTCCTGAGCAGCAGCAATCGAGGCAAGCCAGTTTGCTTCCGGCAAAATATAAGACGACTGATCAGTAACCGCAAAATCTAGCTTAGAACCGACGACGCCCGTAGATCGACTGCTACCTCTAGCTTTTTTCTTCGATTCAGCCATGATTAGGCTGGATTTGGTTTGGTTCGCTTATTATTTGGCCTGATCGTGATCAAATTTGACCGAGGAAATTTTCCACCAAGAGGCTAGAAGAACAAGGAAAACAAACAAGGCATTTATCAGTATACTTTAAAAAATTAAATCCACAAAAAGATTTTTCTCACAGTACGAATCGCAACTCCTTTTCTATCTTCCACTTGACATCAATCAATCCATAACTTAAATCTATTCAACAGCTACCACGTGTCGTTTTCATTTTTAATTTTAATTTTTAATCATTTTATAAATATTTTTTAAATTATAAAAAATGTATATTTTAAAAGTCTTACTTTTGTTTGTACGTGATACTAAGTGATATTTAGCATATAATCGAATCAAATTGAGTTAATGTATTGAGATAAATATATTCAAACTTAACTCAAAAATTAAAGTTTTAAAATTTAATTTAAATTTAATCAAATTTTATTTTTTAAATTTGAGTTTAATTTGAGATAAAATTTAAGTCAAAATTCGAGCTCGCTCAACTCAAGTTATAATAAAAGAGGATTATTTGATAAAAATAATTTTTTAATCTAAAAAAAAATTAAAAGGAATTATTCAACAGTTTTCTAAAAAAATGTTTTGAATAATCTCCAAAAGAATTTGAAAAATATTATTCAATGCGTTTTTGCTAATCCCTACAAAAATTAAAAAGGATTATTTAAAGCGTTTTCTAGCAAAAACACATTGAATAATTTAAAAAAAATTAAAAGAGATTATTCAAGGTGTTTTCTAGTAAAAATACCTTGAATAATTTTTAAAAAAATTAAACGAGATTATTCAAGATGTTTTTCGACAAAAACATCTTGAATAATCTAAAAAAATTGAAGAGAATTATTCAAGATATTTTTTAGTAAAAATGCCTTGAATAATCTAAAAAAAAATTAAATGAGATTATTCAAGACTTTTTACTAAAAAAATTTAAAGAGATTATTCAATTTGTTATTTGGTAAAAATACTTTGAATAATCCTAAAAAAAATTATATAATAGAAAAACTCGATTAGGCTCGTGAGCGATTTGAGCTAGGTATTAATATGCTCAAACTCAGCTTGTTTGATAAGTCGAGCTATTCAAGCTCAAGCTCGGTTCGATAATTATCAAATCGAATTCGAGTTTTAATCAAATCGAATCCAAGTAGTTTGCGAGTATTAATGTATCATTTACACTTCTAGTTATGCTTTATTTTTTATTTTTCATTTTTCATCTTATTTCTCTTTATTTTTTATTTTTATTATTAAAAGTTTTACTTTTTTTTTCTATATGCAGTTCTTATATATAATAAAGTATATGTTTTTCATTTTTCATCATATTTCTCTAAACACTGAATATCTCTTGAGTTTCATTAGTAAATCTGTTTTTTTTATTTTTTTTGTAATTTTTTTTATTTTGATTTTTGTTTATAAATTTTTTGTTAGTTTTTGTCTGGATGAATATCCCATTATCAATCAACAGCTTCACCTTTTTTTTTTTTTTAATTTTGTTCCAAGAAAATTGAATTGCTTTGATCTATTTGAACAAGTGGATTTACTTTGAATAAATGGATTAAAAGCTTTACTTCTGATTTTGCTTAAACTCTTTCTTAATGCATATATTTTAGGATTTATATTTGATACATTGTCAGTGTATAAATTTTATACACTCTCAATGAATAGGATGATACCATCTTAGTAATAAAATGAATCAAATGATACCACCTCATTAATGAGTAAATTTTTAAAAAAATATTAATTTTTATATATTTATTTTAAGGGTTGATATTTATTCATTAATGAAATGAAATCATCTGATTTGCTGGTAGTGTATAAAATCTATATATTGATAGTATATCAAATATAAACTCTAAAATTTAATGTTATTCCTTAATGCATGCTTTTAATTTATTAAACCTAGAGCTTCATGAAAGAGCTCCAACTTCGACTTTATGAATGCTTCTGCAACTTGATCACTTTTTCAATATTTTTCAACTCAAACTCTTATTCAAGAACTTTCTCTCAAATGAAATGTTGTTAAACCTTTATATATTTTGTTCGAGCATGAAATATTGGATTTGATGCTAACTTGATTGCGTTTTGATTGTTACACCTTAGAGTAATAGGACATTCCACTTTCTTATAGATGTCAGTTATTAATTGTTTCAATCAAACTTCTTTTTGTGCAGCCATTATTGTAGTATAATACTTTATTTTGGTACTAAATAAAGTAATGTTTGCTTACTTCTTGCTACACCATGAAATTGCAATTGATCCCATATCAAAACTGTAGCCAGTTGTTGATTTTTTATCTTTGATATTACCTGCCCAATCAAAATCCACAAAGCCACTTAACAAAAAGTTTTCATTCTTCTAGTGTAGCAGCCTAAACTCAAAAGTATCTTCACATATCTTAAAAATCTTTTTGGTATTGAAATGAGGAACATTTCATGAACTGAAAGACAACACCTACTGAGAATGACAAATCAGGCCTTGTTCTAGTAAGATAAATCAAACTACCAACAAGTTGGCAAATTTTGTGCATGTTCGCAATTGATTTTCCTTCATCTTTTTTAACTTGATGTGTAATTCCATGAGAATCCCTTTTGGCTTTGTATCTTTCATTGAAAAACATTCTAGTAAGGTTTGGGCATATTTTCTCTAATCTAAGAATAAACCACATTCCATTTCCTCAATCTTTAATCCAAAAGAACATTCAACTTTTCCCAAAATTTTCATCTAAAACCAAATCGCCAATTCATCACAGAAATCTTGATTTCAACATAATTATCTCTTGTAATAATCATGTCATCAACATATAAAAGAATCGACAAATTTATCTTTTAAATTTTCTTGATAAACATACTTGAGTCAAAATTAAATACTTTGAATCCACAAAAGATAAAAGTATTCAAAGATTTTTCTATACCATGCACGTTGTATAGAGTTTTCTTAAACTGGTAAACATGATGAGAAAATTCTTCAAAAACAAAATCGTGCAGCTGATTCATAAATATTTCTCTACCTAACTCTTCATAGAGAGATGCATTTAGTCTTACATGTCGTTAACGTCAACTTAAGTCTCATTACTATTTAATTCTCAAACTTTCTTTCTTTACTATCTCTCATTCTCTTATTCTTGCTTCTCCCGTAGAATTGCTTTCTTAATCTTCAATCTTAGACCTTTGGTTGTCTCTCTAATTTTAGCTATCCTTATATGGTAAATTTCTTTTATTTCTTAGGTTTACTTCATATAAGTATTAATCTTTTTCCTTTTTTATTTAGGATTGAAAATAATAATCTTTAAAAATTTTGTTCAAATAAGTTAATTGAATATTGTTTTTCTCTTTTTAATTAATTAACAATGAAATTATTACGATGGATTAGGAAATATATATGATGCTTGTTACTTGTTCAATGAAATGTTTTGTTGAAATTAGTCCAAGTTGACACTTGCATAATGAAAGTTTCAATCATGTTTTCTTAGAAAATGGTTTTTGATTTATTAGTATATTGAAATCATATAATCCCACTTTAGATTCATGATAATTTTTGAATTGTTTATTATACTTTCATTCCTGATAGGTTTTTGATTTATTAGTATATTGAAATCATATAATCCCACTTTAGATTCATGATAATCTTTGAATTGTTTATTATACTTTCATACCTGATAGGCTTTCATTCTTCCTATGATGATTGTTCCATGAAAGACCATATATTCCATGTCTATTAGACTACAAATAATATTGAATAGTAACTTTGCTTGATCTAGGGACCTTATAGCCAAACTAAATATCCTCTTTCACTATAATCTAGGATAGATAAATGAGGTTTTGAACTTCTAAGTTTGACATTGTTAGGCTCGTTAAAACTCTGTCAACAAATTTCTTCTGGTGCAATCTTCTCTCTCGATGTAATAACCCAAAGAGGAAATGGACATTTTGGTATCCTAAAATTTATGGACATTTTTGGTGTCCCAAAATCTATGTTTTTTTTCATAACATTGAAGAGTAGTTCCTTGGTTATTGAAATTTTCAATCATGTATGTGAATCTTTTTATGTTGAAATTCTTCTTAATTTGGTAAGAAATATTAAAAATATATATGTTCGAAATTCCTTTTGTTTTGTCAATAATAATATATGTTTGACTAATTAGGCTAGTAGCTTTTAACTTCATAGACTAATTAGTGTTTCTCAAATCATCAATTCTTTCAATTTGTTCAACAATTAATTTTTTGTGAAGATGGGATGCTTATGAATATTATTATTAAATTTTCTTAACAATATAAGTTTATTCTTTTAAACTAGGAATATGTCATTCTCAAATCATACACTAAAACATAAATTTACTTGAACATTTTGATTTTTCTTAAAGTTTGCAATTTATAGAACTGTATTATATCTATATGTATGATATATAACTTTTTATGCTTTTTATATTCTATTAAATTCAATATTTAGATTCTTTTCTTCTTTTTTTTTTTAAGGATTAGAATGGAAAATATGTTAGCACAAGAGATTGATATGATGGAACTGAAAGAAGTTAAGGATGATGAGGTCAATAATATGGAAAATAAAGGAAGTCTTTAAAGGTGAAAATGCAATGGAGTATGTCATTGAAGAATCAAGGATTGATAAATTATTAGAACCAAATGTTGGCATGGAATTTGAGTCACTAGATGATGCTAAAAAAATTACAATAAGTATGAGAAATCCAAAGGCTTTGGTACATGAAAAAATCTCATTACTAGATAAAGAACTAATTAAGCAAGAGATTGTTCAAAGAAAGATGTGTGAGCTAAAAAATTCTTAAAGAAAAAAAATAAAGTTTATATAGCACCAAATGAGACAAGAGAAAGTTGTTAAGGCAATGCTTCGAATATCCAAGGAAGAAGAAAGAAAATGGGTTTTCTCTCGATTTCATGCGGAGCATAATCATATGCTAGTTTTACCAAATAGCACATGATTTATCCATTCACATAGAGTACGGACAAAAGTTCAAAGAGATCTCATAGATGTTCTTGATGATTCCGATATTCATTCAAGTAAGATAATTTTTGTTTTATCTCATGAGTTTGGTGGGATTGGTAATTTTAAAATGGTTGTGTGTGATGTATTTAACTATTTAAGTTGTAAAAAGTAGAAACAATTAGAGAAAAAAGATACTCAAATAATGTTA